GTTTGTTTTTTAAAAAAAATCCATAATAATTGTTTACAAAAGATTAGAAACATGTTAAATTTATAAAAAAACTAGTTGTCCATCGTTTTCGGTTGTTGAGTGGATATTATTGGATTTATTTCAGTCTGAGATATTTTAGCTCTTCACGTAGGAGGTGCTCTTCTATTGATATCTCCTCTCTGTGTTCCCTTCTGAAATGTTCAAATATTTACTAGTCATACATAAACATGGACAGTGGCGGAGCCATGCCTGTTCAAAGTGGTTCACTTGAACCACCTCATATTTTGAAAACTACTTTATACTGTTCAAAGTGGTTCACTTGAACCACCTCATATTTTGAAAACTACTTTATATACCATATATATCAGATGTAAAACCAAAAGGAGCCAAAACTACTTTATATACCATATATATCAGATGTAAAACCAAAAGGAGCCTTTAGTCCAGCGGATAAATAAAGAATGGATAAGTGTTTATGTAGCATGAGGACCCTGGTCCGAAACCAGGTAGACCATATATTTTTTCCAAACCTAATCCTCTCTCTATTTATATCTATGCTTTGTTTTTTCCCTATATTTTAAACCATCATTCAAAAGGTCGTAGCTCCGCCCCTGAACATGGACTATTACTATGGTAACGGAAAGAGGGATCGAGTTATCAAAGTACCTTAATAACTCTAGCCAAAAACCTAGAAGCCACTATCTTGTTCTCTCTTTGCCGGAGGAGGATTCATTGGCCGTGCTAACTCGTGTCTGTGCATGCGTGGAAGATAGACTGCATGTTGGGGCACTCATGGTTTGAGTTTGTTGCACTGGATGTTGATGCTATACTAGTAGAAAATAAGGTATTGACGACGGGGTATTGAAGACGGATATCAAATCTGTCGCCAATACAAACATTAGTAACGGGTCATTTCCCGTCGCCAATACCCCGTCGTCAATGTTGTACATTGGCGACGGAACAAGCCCGTTGCCAATGTTTTCCCGTTACCAATACGTATTGGCGAACGCCATTACACATTCGGCAACGGGTATACCCGTCGCTAATACGTATTGGCGACGGAATGAGGTTCGTCACCAATAAGTATTGCGCCATGATGTACCCGTCGGCCATGTCGTGCCGATATTAGCGACCGAGGTTGACCGACACCACATACAACTATATTAAGCAGAGAAGTATATTACCATCAGGAGAACAATACTTATTGGCAACGGATCCCCGATCGTCGCCAATGTTGATGCCGTCACCAATAAGTATTGGCGACGACACAGAACCGTCGCCAATGCATATACCAAACTATTCAGTCATATTCGATTCGGTAGTTCATTTAACGCTAAACAAATATTTTTTAGAATTCGAGTTTGCTAAAGATTAAAATTTGAGCAGATGTATATTCAATTTGTTTGTATATTAAATATCCGTTTAAAATTGATCACATGTTATTATTTGTATTATTGCATATATGATGCCGTATTTTAACCATTTACCTATTCAACTTAAGTTTTATATACCGATTTTAAGACTTAAATAAACTTAAATTTTTTTCTAATTAAATATTAATTTAATTATATACACATCATATAGTATAAAGGAATAATTTTTATTTATGAATATTAATACTAATTGAAAATTAAATTATTTAGCGGAATAAATATACTTTGATATTCGATAAATATTCGTGAGTTTTTGGATTCGACTTTGATTAATTTAGAGAAAATGATGAGAAAATGGTGAGAGGCCAATGAAGAGATCATTTTTAGTTATACGTATTATGAACATGTAATCATATTAATCTTGCGAATGATATACCGGAACTTATCATAGCTCTTTTCAATTAATTAGAAAGTCTATGTTATTTTTTAAATTTATTATCTTTTATTGTTTATGCTAGTAGATTCGATGACCTCCACTACTCTTATTTGGCTTCATTTACGGATGAACTTGACCCTGCAAACATAAATGTGAGAAGAGCTTAATGAGATTTAATCACTAAAGAAACAGATAAAAATAGTTTGGATAAAGTTCTCTTTGAGTTTTATAAGGTTAAGAGGAGAAAGAGCCGTCGAAATTGAGTTATAGCGTAGATGATATCTATTGGAGGAATTTTTTTTAATGAATTTGGTTTTCACATTTTAACTGGTCAACTAGGTCCATACGGGTTAACTTTTTATAATATTAAAAGTCAAGGAAAACTAGTAGTAATAATAAATATTGTTATGATTTGAGGGATGCAGTAGAAATTTTCATGATTTGAGTGTAAATTTGAAATATTGAAGATTTGAGGGACTAATTTGGAAATATTGAATATTTGAGGGACTAATATTGAAATAATATAATCATTAACTCTGACTCGAGGATACAAAAGAAAAATTAGTAAGAATAGTTAGATTTTAGGGTTGCAATAGCAATTTCTATGAGATTTCGGGAACTAATATCTCAACCAAACCCTAATCCAAACCTTCTTTTCTCAGCCGCCGTTCTCTCTCTAACCCTTAGTGCCTCTTTCTGAAAACCATCATAGTTATGAGTTTTTGGCTTCATCTTTTATTAGTTTAAAGAAAATGATGAGAAAAGTGAAAATGATGAGAAAATTTTAAATGAATTTGAATGCTATGATGATAGAGAAAAAGGTTGTTTTCCTTTTAATTGTGTAATTTGATAGTTTTTTATTTCCTTTTGGTATGTTGTGGTATCTAGTTTGTTCATAGAGTAGAAAATGGAGTGACTATAGTTCAGTGTATGGACAAGTGTTTGTTTATTATACTGAGAATTTATTTAAGTTTTCCTCCGTTTTAATACAAAATCTTGTGGAAGAGCCACTTTCGTGATTTCTTTTTAGCTTTATTGTTTCAT